CCACCTTCAAAAAGAAACTGGATTTGAGCCCATTTAAGGCTGACCAACCATTTTAAAAATGCACATTGGATGGCAACTCATGTCTTCTTGATAGGGGGGCCATGTTGCTTTGCATCCACCTGCGAGCAAGCTCTGTTACAACACTATTTGGAAAGCAAAGGAGGTGAATCGAATTGATACTTACCTTCTTGCTTCTCTTTTCAAGGATTGTCTTTGTACCTGGAATATCTTCTCGTATATTATAAAAAAATTACAAGCCAAACCCAGGAACTTCAGGTAATATTTTAACTTTGAAAGTTCATTTCAGCTCCTCCTTGGAGCGTTTATATAGCACTGTGCATTTTAACCCTGTTTTTTCTCTGTTAACTAGTCAGTCCACATTCTCCAAGATGTGACATGATATCTCCACTTGACACAAAAAGATTCAAACGGTGGCTAAAATCTCCCAGGAGGGCAAGGGCAAAGACAGGATGCTTGTTGTCTTCTGTCAAAATTATCAGAAAGATTTAAATGCCATCAGATCTTGAGAATTATGCTTATTAAATACACAGCTACCCACAATATGGGGAGCAGGATTACCAGAAGTTACATAATGTCCACATTTTAGAGGCAAATAATCCTTAGGGATTGTACTCACTCTGGTAGCTACTGCCATAACAAGGCTTTGTAATAAACACCTACAAAACTTTAGTGGCATTCCACAATTACTGTTCACTGCTCACATGTCTGGGGTCAGCCACTAGGTGGGTACACCAGTCCTGGACAGGCTTGCCCAAGTGTCTGGCTGTTGGCTGGCCTTGATTGGTCTAGGCCAGCCTCAGCTGGAGGAGCTATGCTCTGCTCCACCTGTCTCTCATCCTCCAACAGACTAGCCTGGCCATGTTCCCATGGCGATGAGGAGGTACAGGAGAAAAAGCAGCCCAGTCATGGAAAGCTTTTCAATTCTCTGCTGTGTTAACATCCCATTAGCCAAAGTGGGTCACATGGCTGAGTTCAGTGTCAAAGCAGCCTATGGGTGGTCCCTGCAAGGTACATGGCCAAAGACATGGTGGAGAAAGGGTGAAGTATTGGGACCACCATCATGATCAACCCCACAGACCATCTAGTCCAGCGGTCGACAGACTTTTCCTAAAGCAAAGGGCCAGATGGTCAATATTTTAGGCTTGCAGGCTATACAGCGTTTATCACAACTGCTCAACTGCTGCTGTAGAGTAAAAGCAGCCAAGGACAATATGCAAATGAATGAGCATGAGGGGCGTGGCTTTGTTCCAATAAAACTTTATTTATAAAGATTGGCAGTGAGCCAGATTTGGCCTGTAGACAGCACTTTGTCAACCCCTGATCTAGTCCATTCTTATTTTACAGGTATGAATATAGAGCCTCAGAGGCAGGTGATTATTTCAATGTCACACAGCTAGTTGATGGAAGAATCAAGACAAAACCTCAGGCCTTCTGACCCTAGCTCACTGCTTTTTCTCTTCCACTCAGCAAATAATAACTAATAATTCTAGCTGCCATTAACTGAGCACCTACTCTGTGCTAAGCACTGTGCTAAAAGCTTTCCATCACGCTCTCACTCGGTCCTTACTCGAAGAGGCAGATACCATTATTATCCTTATTTTCTAAATGAAGAAGCATCTAGAAAGAAGTAGAGCTGAGATTCTATCTAGATCGAGAGTCTGAGTTCTTATCTGCTCTACTCTACTGCTTCACTACCAGAAACTAGGCTAAGCATAGTATTTCTGTGTTTTTAAGAAAGTTTTGTGTAAACCTTTGTACCCCCAAAGGGAAAGAACTTGTAAAAGGAAAATGTTGACATGACTCCTTTAATTAGTCCTGTTTCCCCCTCATCAGCTTCAGTTTCCTTTCCTCTCGTTTCAGATCAAGATCCACAGTTCTCAGGAAACTCAGCAGTCTTTCATGCAAGAGAAGCTGCGGGAGCATCTGGCAGAGAAGGAGAAGCTGAATGAGGACAGGCTGCAGCAAGAGGAGAGGCTAAAAGCCAGAATCAAACGGCTGATGGAAGAGAAGGCGGTAAGGTGGTCCCCGTCGTTTTCTTTACTCCTGGAAACTGACAGAATGGCCTTTTCTGAGAGCATGTACTTGGGAGGAGAAATCTCAGCAACTCCTTGTTTGATGCTATGGAAGTAAATTAATTAAATAGGTGAGTAATGTTGGAGGAATTAACATGAAGCTTGAATTTGAAAACTCAATTTGAAACAGTAAAGTTATTGAAATTCCTGGAAATGGTACCTTATTAGCTCAGATACCACAGTCGATTTACCAAGTTCAAGTCATTGCTGCCGGCCCTGGTTTGTAACCGACCAACTGTCTCTTGAGTCTGTGCAAGACCAACTTCACATTAGTCTTCTGCTCTCTCTTGATAGATATCATAGGAAACAAATAGCCAAGATTGCTACTTACTTTTCTAAAAACCAAGCCAGTTACAAGATACTTTGCAGCAGCACCTCTCAAACTTAGAGGTGCCCAGGAAGCACCTGGGAGGCTGTTAAAATGCAGATTCTGACTCGGGAAGGTCTGGGGGCAGAAACTGGCATTCTGCATTTCCATCCAGCTCCCAGCTGGGGCTGAGAGCACAGGTCTGCAGACCACATTTTCAGCAGCAAATCTTGGAGGAAGGTTTTCCCAAAGTTACCTGATAAGCACCACCTGGACACTTGTTAAAAATACAGATTCTCAGGCCCCAGCCCAAACCCACTACATCAGAATCTCTGGAGAAGGCCAGGAAACAGCATTTAATGAACCGGTTCTCATCTTTGTCCAAGAGTCGGCCCTTTTTGATATTCAGGGACTGCCATGAATTTTTAACTACTTCGCTGCCACCACCCTAGATCCATGGCTCATGACTTTGGCTGCCCTTTTGTCACTTAGGAGATTAAAAGGTCCTAATAATGCCTGGCCCCTCTCCTCCCACTCCCATCCCCATGTTCAGCTCTAATTGCGGTGAGGGTGTAGCTGGGACTGTAAGTGCTCCTGGGTGGTTCCCAATATGCAGCCATGGTTGAGAACCATGGCACGCTGTCCCAGCTCCCACCCACCTGGAGACCACAGCCCCAGATCTGCTGGACCCCCCTCCTCCCCTGAGGAGGACTGCACCTGACACCCTCTCCACCTTTTCTCAGTCGCAGCTGCGTGACTTCTGGCTTGTACCCCCCCTCCCTGTCACACGCACCAGCTCTGCAGACCTCTCTGCCTCGTTCAGCGTCTGATTCATGCCCAGTTATCTCAAGAAATCTCTCTCCTCCTTCTACCTCTTCTTCTGTTTGCCCCTTTCTGCTTTTTATGAAGGAAAAGACTAAAAAGGGAACACTAAAAATTGCATGTGGTCCCCTGAAGGCAGTATTAACAATAGCCTTAAATCAAGGTGAGCCCGTTTTGAAGGTCAGTTCGACATGGAAAAAGCCAGTGTCATTCAAGAGAGGAAAACAAAACCAGAAAGAACTGGAAATCTTCAAAGTCCTCACAAAGCTCTCCACCTGCTTCCTTGCTCCTCCCTGATTACCCTCTCCCTTTCCAAATGTCTTATTTGACTTTTAATTTGGGGTTGACTTTTTCCACTGTGGGTGTGCAGTATTTCGGCCCCACTGTGTTCAATGCCAACTTGGGCACAAGCCTGGGCCTCCCAGATGCCCATTTATAACCTCGATCCTGATGCAGACAAGATCCTGAAGCCAGCCTTGCAAATCCCCTTTAAACAGAATGAACCTCAGTGCACACCACCGCATGAGGAGGGGAAAGCACTATCAGGTACCCACCCAGACGGTACCCTGCTCATGGTCATTATTATCCCATTGAGGGTCATCACTCACCAGACACTTGGTAGATCAACTTGACCCGAGGGACTCAGCTGAAAGTACTGTCTGAGACTTAACAACACAGGTCCCAATTTTATTTTTATTTTTTTAAAAGATTTTATTTATTTGAGAAAGAGATAGAGCACAAACCGGGGGAGGGGCAGAGGGAGAGAGAGAGAGAAGCATTCCCCGCTGAGCATGGAGCCTGACTCGGGGCTTGATCCCAGGACCCTGAGATCATGACCTGTGCCGAAGGCAGATGCTTAACTGACTGAGCCACCCAGGAGCCCTGCGGGGGTCCCAATTTTAAATGAACCTTCCTTACACCATAAGACACCATCACCCCCACCCTTTCTAAAAATACGTGTGTCAAAATTCATTAATTAAACTCCTTCCCATGAATCCTGACTCATTTGAGGACTGTTTGAAAAGTAAGAAATTCTAGGTTGCTTTATCAAGCTAATCCTTTTTTGTTATGAAATGTTAACAACGTGCACTTAACTTGTGCACACACTCATGATTTAGATCAGGGTCAGCAAACTTTTTCCATAAAGAGCCAGATAGTATTTATTTTCAGTTTCGCGGGCCACGCTGCTCTGTCGTGACTGCTCAGCTCTGCTATTTGGTGCAAAAGCAGTCATAGGCAATCTACAAACAGTGAGCAAGGAAGTGTTCCAATAAAACTTGAGTTACAAAATGCAGACAGCAGGCCAGATTTGGCTGGTAGGCTATGGTTAGCCAAACCCTGGCTTAGAAAACAGGCTCTCGAGTCAAATGGACCAGGATTCGAATCCCTGCTCATGTGATTTGCTAGCAAATTTGACAGATTCCTTAGTCCCTCTAAGTCTGTTTCCTCCTCTGCAAAGTAGAGATCACAGAAGAAATGACTGACCCTTATTAATGAACGGTGATCACGTGCCAAGTGGTCTGTGTTCAGCCTCTCATCTGCCCCTCACATTCACCCAATGCAGGAAGCACTATTATTGTCCCCATTGTACAGATAGGGAGACTGAGGCTTCTATCGCTTCTCACCTTCCTAGGGTCATGCACCTGGAAAGGCCCAACCTGGGGCTCTGATCTGGGCCTGCCTGCTCTGGATCCCTTGCTCCTCGCTACCCACAGTCTCCCCCATGGGGTTGTTGTAGGAGTAAAGAGCTAGCCTGTGCAGTGCCTGGCACAGAGTCCAGATTCCTGCCATGGTAACTATGTCTATTAAACAACAGTCATTGACTTTCAGGCTTTGGAGGAAAGCATTACTCAAGAGAAAAACAGAGCAAAAGAAGCTTTAGAAGAAGAAAAGAAGAGAATCCAAGAGCTGGAGAATCGTTTAGACTGCCAGAAGAAGGTATGCTGCTGGGGGAGACAGAGTCGGCCTGAGCCCAAATCAAGGTCACACACCCAGGGAGGACCAACCTGGGGCTCTGAACTGAGCCTGCCCACTCCGGATCCCTTGCTCCTGGCTGCCCAGTCTCCCCCGTAGGGTTGTGGTGAGCAGCGAAGGGCTACCAGTGTAGTTCCTGGCACAGAGTCCAGGTTCCTGCCATGGTAACTATGTCTATTAAACAGTGGCCATTGGATTGCAGGTCTGGGAGGAAAGCATTACCCAAGAGAAAAACAGAGTGAAGGAAGCATTAGAAGAAGAACAGACCAGAGTCCAAGAGCTGGAGAATCGCTTAACCCGCCAGAAGGAGGTATGCAGCTGGGGGAGACAGTCGGCTCGAGCCCAAGTCCGGCTTGTGGGCCATGTGGAAGTGAGTTCTGAACCACGGATGATGGGGGTAGAGCGTGGCAGAGCTTTCCTACCGTGATCTGTCCTTGGGAGGGTTCGGCTACTCTGGGAAGCAGTGGGGCTCAAGGAGAGAGCCCTGGAGTCGTAACTTTGACAGCCAGTTGGAAAAACTGTAAACATGCAGACATAGATAGAACTTGAGAGACAAGTTGGCGCTGGTGACACAGCATCTTCTGCATGGAGACTGTGGGGAGGAGGTACAGGGTCCTGGGACTTCAGGGCTGTGTCAGTCCTCCCAACAACATCCTAAAATCATCCAGCCTTCAGCTCCACCATCAAGGAATTTTGTACAGGCCAGGGCAGTCCAACCCAGTGGTGATGCCTTGGGCTGGCAGAAAGTTCTTTTAGGTTGAGCACAAGCAAACTCTTTCTCCCAGAAGAGCATCAATCCCCCACTGGCCTCCCAGGCCCCTGCAAGGCCTGTCCACCTCCTCATCCACATAATAACCTTTTAGAGGCTTGAAAATGAGACATCTGCTCCTTTCCAGACCCGAATATGCCCTTGTTTCTCCTGGAGCCTGGCCTTGGTCCCCTTCTCTGGCCTGCTCTGTTCTCCAGAAAGCACAGATTGGCCACTCACTGGCTGAAAAGGGCCTGGGGACATGTTACGTTTGGCCCCCAAGTATTTTATTTTGAATTCATAACATTTACTTAAAAATCCAGATTTCCATCCTCTCCTGAAAAGTCAGAAAATCTGGCACCATTTCCACTTGGCAGAAGTGGATGGGAGCTCAACCAAGCAGCAGGGATTTCCCACCGTCCCCACCATTCCCTGTTGCGTTCAACGCAGCCCACTTCCTTGCTGGCACCTGTCTGGCCCCTATAGACATCTGAGTTTGCAACCCCTGCTCTGTTTTCTTCCTGAAGTGCGGTGGCCAGAATCGGCCCCGGTTCTCCAGCCATGGTGGCCCAGGGCAGGACTTTGCTCCCCTGTTGAAGATTTTGCACTTGTACTGACGCTCCCAAACCAACTTTGGGGAGCGCTCTATGACATCGTTGGCTCAAGCTTGCCTTGTGGTCACCCTTGGACCTCGGAGTCTTTTTCACATACTGTTCTCATGAGCTCTTGCACCCCGAGGAGCACAGAGGGGTGAAGAGTGCAGGCCTTGCAGCCACGTGAGAAGCAGGTGCAAATCCTGGCTGGACGACCTACGGGCCTCGGCAGCTCGCTCAGGACCCTCCTCCTTTTGGGGTGGCTGCAAGGGACGGCGGTCATGCACAGTGAAGCATTTGACCCAGAGTTGCTGCTCGGTCAGTGTAGCTGTTAGAATTATCACAAGCCCTTCTCTCCCTATCGGCCCCCTCCCCATCCTCACTGCCCAGAGGGAAGTCCTTGCCCACCCACCGCTGCCAGAAAGACAAGGAGGCGGCCCAGGCAGAGCCCGGTCCCACCTGATCCAAGGAGGGAAGATGTTTATGTGCCAGGTGTCACCTGGGGTCACCTGTATGGCTGTGCTCGGCGGCCTGTGTAAACAGTGTCACAGAGGCCTGGCCCTGAGTTATCTCTCCAGGGGTGCTGACGAGGAACAGAGTCTCCCAAGGGTTCACGGGGGCCAAATGCCACTGAGAGGTCAACAGCTCAGCTCGAGGGCCCGGGGCAGCCCTTGAATTTAGAGATGTCGAGGTCACGGGGGACTTCAGGAGAGAGATTTAAGGAAGAAGGCGTGATGGGGTCAGCCTCACTGCAGGGGAGGAGCTGTGGCCGGGTCACCCCAAGCCTAGGAAAACGGCAGCCTACCTCTCCCAGCAGAACCTCTCTGTGGTTTCTTGACGGGGAAATCTGAGATAAAAAGCCCCAGGCACAGACTTTAAGCAACCTCAAATGGTTCTTTGATTTTTCTTTTTATTAGGCTTTCTGCCACATTATCAGATGACTCTTTAAGGGCAACAGAATGCTAGGCCATAATGCGAGTTCTAAGGTAACGTTAGAGGTGAACTCCCATTACCTGCCTGGGAACTTGGGAGCAGAGCGGCGGAGGGGGCCAGGGCCCGTGTGTGTCGAGTCGTGCAAAGACGATCTTCCCCTTAGTGCCCCTCTCGGCTGCAAAGGAGCTGCCGAGAGCAAAGTCGTGAGTATAGATGCGAGATCAGATGCAGCAGAGCTGACCCTAAGTCACTGGAAAGTGCTTGGGAGTCTCTTCCACAAATTACAGGAAACCCCGACCCCCGCCCCCCGACCAAATGTTCAAAAGCAGTGTGCCAACTCCCATGATGCTACTGTTCTTCTGCTTTCTCTAGGGCTGCTATTGGGATTTTTTTTTTTAATGACTTTTCACTACAAAATAGATAGTATTTCAGCCAGGCTCATCTGGGCAGGCTAATCTCTGGGACCCTAGCCACGGGGTATAATGGAAACCATGTTCCAAGTTCCAGAAATCTTACGGTCAAGCTGGTGCTTAGAACTCAACCCATTTGAAAGCTCACGTGCCCTTTCTTGCAGGGACTAGAAACGGGGGCCTTGTGGGCAATTTCTATCCTTTGCGATTGGTGTTAGCCATTTACTTCCTAAATAAAATTCCTTGAGCACGAGTGCCAAACCACATTTTTCCCCGTACGCCCTCTCCGAGCTCCACGTGTGAGGTCCACCCCCACCCCTTCTAGAAATGGGTGTTGCGGCTCATGAGTTCAATACACTGTCCGCATCTTGAAACCTGGTTCTCTTTAGGAGATTTATTTTAATAATAGGATATCCATTATTAATGAGATTCTTCTCCTTATCAGAGCGACTGCCTGGCGCAGTGATAATAAGACAGACCCAGTTCCCTCTGCTCACGTGCTCCCTGCCGAGGGCCTCCGGATGCAGGCCGTGGGCCATCCTCTGCACAGGGCTCAAAGCCTGACCTCACCTACAACAAACTGCATGACCCCTGGGCCTTCCGCACCTTTCTGTTCCTCAGCTTCCTTGTCTACAAGCTGGGGCCACTGACTCGTCCGCTAGGGTCACCGTGATAGGGTTCACTGTGTGTGACGTGCTGGCCATGGGCCCCAGCAGGGGATACTCACCACCCCCCAGCGTGGGACCTGCTACCACTATTAATGATATGGCCAGAATGAGCAGTTTCCCCGCCCGAAATGCGCAGGCAACCGAAAAGACTCGTCGTTGATTTTCAGGTTTTGGAGAGCAGCATGGCCCATGAGAAAAGGAAAGCAAAGGAAGCTTTAGAGACAGAAAGGAGAAGAGTTCAAGATCTGGAGAACCACTTGACCCAACAGAAGGAGGTATGAGGAGCAGAGAGATAAATGGGCCATAGCGGCCAAAACCCCTGTGGAAGGAGCTCTGAGGCCAGACAGGAGGCCATGGTTCTACGCCCCAATGGAGAATATGGCAGGCCAGCGGGCAGGTGCTGGGTGGCACTTCCATGGGAAGTGGCCAATGTCGAGTACAACTCACTAGTTGTATGACCTAGGGCAGGTCACTTAACCTCCAGGGCCTCAGTTGCCTCCTCTGTAAAATGGGCATGGTAACAGCCCCTGCCTGGCAGGATTAAATGAGTAATATAGACAGAGGACTTAGACCTGCACCTTGCACGTAGATGGCCCTCTACATAAGCATTCCCCGCCCAGCCACCGAAGGCAGAGAGATGCGCTCCAGAGAGAACCCTTGGGTTGGCGTCTGGGTCAGTCCCTCAGCCAGCACCCCCCTCCTCCTCACGGAAAGGTACTTATGACACAACCCACCGCGGGCACCGTAGGAAAACACTCGCTCCCAGGTCTGGTCTCCTGGTTTCATAGATCTTTTATAGAGACACAAACAGTTGTGGAGTAAGATGGCGTAGACCGGTACCTGACAGGCTCGCATAGCAGTCCCATGAGCAAGTGCCGGAGATCCGGAGCGGATGAGAAGTGCACCCTCAGGGAGAGGGTGACAATGGTTTGGGCAGGCCCGAGCACCATGCCTGGGGAGCGCTGGAAACGTCCACCTCTAGCCACCTCCACCAGCCTGGGGACGGGGCCCACCAGCCACACCGGCCTGGAGCAGTCATGGAAGGCAGGCCTAAGGCTGAGGGGAGGGATGTCACTCAAGTTAACCCAAACACCCCAACCTCCCCCCTCTCCCCGCAAGAAGTCAAAGAAGGAGCTGGAGGCCAGGGCGAGAACTCAGTGACCTGCGGTGGCAGGTCCGTGAGCTAGGCTCCAAGGCCGCAGGGGGCACCGACGTGGGCTGGCCCTCAGGGAACTCCCAGAAACAGAGTACTGACTCCATGAATTGTTCATTTCTGTTCCATTCATCCACCCACAAGTGCTTCCCGAGTGCCTAGCATGGGCCAGGCCCTGTTGGGCGTTGGCGACACCACAGTGCACAGTCCTCCCAGAGCTTCCACTCTAGGCTGAGGGACAGACACCACGTACCCAGGGGCACACGAGCACTCCAGGGCCACAAGCCTGCAGGGAAGATCAAAGGGGTGGGCTAGAGAGTGGCCCCATGCAGGGAGGGCCTCTCTGAGGAGGTGACACTTGAGTGAGACCTGGAGGGGAGAAGGAGCATGAAGGGAACATCTGGGGGGGGAGAAAATGCCACTGGGTAAAGTGGCCCAGCTGCGGGGCACAGGGACCTCCCTTAGCCGGAGGGACAGGGGCAGTGGTGTGAGGAAGGAAACAAAGCTGGAACAAGATGGAAGCCAGATGAGGGGTTCCGGGGAAGAAAGCCGGAGGGAGACGCAAAGGCGGTAAAGCAGGAAAGCTTGGTAGGCGAAAAGTGCCAATTCTGGCTCAAATCCCAGCTCTGCCCCAACATGCTGTTTGACCCTGGGCAAGTGCCTTGCCGTCTCTGTGCCCCCATCTGTAACGGTGTAGTGGCAGAACCACCCTAGACGTTTGTCGTGAGGAGTCAGTGTATTCATTATGAAGTACCTGCCCAGGTGAGGTCAGCGTCCAGGTGGGGTGGGGAGGATGGTGTGGGTCCAGTGAGGTGGGGGGGGCGGGGCAGACAGTCCAGCAAAGACCTTGGCAGTGGGACTGTGTCAGCCCGTGCAGGGAGTGAGGTCAAACTTAGCAGCTGTGCCTAGAGTGTCCCTTATACAGATGGGCGAGGAATGGGGTCTTGAGGTGCTGGCTCCCGCCGTGGTGCGGTGGACACTGTGCCCGACTAGGTATGGGCGTAGAAGCAGGTCTCTGCCTCTGGGGAGGGTGGGGTTTTAATCAGGACGACACATAAGTCAAGGTCCAGAAGCCGAGTGGCCATATGGTTAGGGCAGGGCGCTGGTGTCCCAGCATGCACCGCCACTCCCTGGTGGCGTGACCTCTGTACATCATCCGTCCCCTCACTGCCTCGGTGACAGCCACCATGTCCTCACCTGCAGAATGCAACTCGCTGGGCAGACGTTCTGGGGGTTTGCCGATGAGATGCACGGACGCGCTCAGTGCCTGGTGCCCAGCACTCGTGTTGCAAGCATTTCAAGAGGAGTCAGTGTCAATCATTATTTTCAACTGCGACACGCCAAGCAGCGCAGAATCCCACGGGGCACGCAGAAGGGGGCCAGCAGCCTCTTCCGGCTGGCAGGGTGGGGGCTGGGCAATCTTAAGCAGACATGGCAGCAGGCAAATGCCAGGCTCGTGCAGGGAGGTGAGTCAGAGCCCAGGTGGGGCTGGAGGCCTGTGCAGAGCAGGGCAGGCGGGATGGCGACCGCAGACACAGGCTCCGATGGCAGGACTGTTGGAAAGACTCTTTCTCCAGGGCCACGCAGCCCCAAAGCCTCGTCCTACCCCCAGCACCGCATTCCCTAGGACAATTCGCAGTCATTTTTCTTTTTGCCAAATAATGTATGTTCACGCAAGAAAATGTAGAAGATACAGACCAGCGAAAAGAGGAAATGTAAATTGCCATAATCCCAATCCCCCAAAATAACCGGTATTTACATTTCAGTACACATCTCTTCAGGCCCTTGTCTATGCATACATGCATATATTTAAAATATTTTTCTGTGAACTTTGTGTTTGTATGGGAGCATCACTGCAAGGATTCCAAGCTGCAAATTGAGTTTTCCAACCCCCCCTGCACTGTGTACCTCCTGGGGCTTGTGTAGGTGAGGCTGGTCCTCAATCCCCACCTCCATGTCACTGGACCCGCGGGCTGCATGTTCTCAGTTCCAAATGGTCCTGGACATCAATTTTTGGACCCAAGCCTTTGAAGGCTGGAGAGAGCCTGAAGCCACAGGTGTGTCAGGTCGTGCTGGGACAGGAGGTGTCTCCCCTCCACTTTGCCTCTCCTGCCCCACCTCCCAAGAAGCCAGGTACTTCCCAAAGGAGGGCCCACATTCCAGTTCAATTAGTGGCTCAGTGCCAAACGCCTTGACCCGAACACTCACCAGCACGTCACTTCCTGAACACAGGCCCAAAATCCTGAACGATGAATAACCCTCTCTTTTATGCGGTGACAAACAGACATGACCTTCAGGTTCTCACCGCCGTGGCGGGCATGCCAAGACTCCCACCCCTCTCTCCCGTGAGCATCCTGTTCCCTGAGCCCTTATTCCCAAGCCCTGACTCACTGATCTGGGCAATTACTAATCCTGGCTTCCCTCATGGTGCCCCTTCCCTTCCTCCCTCGCGTACACTCCCTCAAACCAGTTGTCCCTGACTTCCAGATTTCAGAAAGCAGCCTCGCCTACGAGAAACACAAAGCAAAAGAGGCCATAGAGAAGGAAAAGAAGAAGGTGCAAGATCTGGAGAACCACATAACCAAGCAGAAAGAGGTAAGAGTCTCAGAGAGGAGCAGACACGGAGACGCCCAGCACGGTTAAGAGCAGGGCTCTGGAGGCAGGCGGTCTGGGTTCAAATCCCACCTCTGCCGCTTTCTGCCCATGCAATCTGAGGCAAGTGTCTTACCATCCCTGTGCCTACGTTTCCCTAGTTATGAAGTCCAGATAATGACCATAGATCAGCCCCATCGAGTGGTGAGGCTTGATTGCTCACAAACTCATAAAACACAGAGGAAAGTGTCTAGCACTCAGTGAATGCTCTGTGTGTCGGCTCCTTTTATTTTATTATTATTATTATTATTATTATTATGAGCTCATAGCTGGGATGTGGAGGGGCAGAACTGAACCCCGCACTGTCCCCCTCCTCTCCCTACTATCCTTGAACAGTGTGTGGCCTCAGCTGCTCGGGGTCATAGAGGGGATGTCAGGAGAGGGATGCCTGAATTTCCCACCACCTGGACAGCAGCGTCTCCGCCGACCTTGTCCCCGTGGGTACCACGACCTGCCCAGTCAGACCGCACTGATGACTGTTCCTGGGAGGAGCAGACAGGTTGTTGATGGGACCCTGTCTTAGGCACCTCCACGCTGTAGGACAGAATTCACTCCTCCTGGGTCCCAACAGTACAAGGGACACACACACACAATGGCTAATATCGAAAAAGTCAAGGCAAGGGATTCAGCACACACCCTGACAATAGGGGGTTAAATTTCAATGCAGGTAAACACAATTTCAGAGGACTTTGAAGACCAGATGGGACGAAAAAGGTCTTTGCGTCTATTCACATCAATCTTAGATCATTTTCTTTAAAGCAAGATTCCCAAACATTAGCATGCATAGAATCACTTGAGGCGGGGTTGGGGGGGCGGTGTTTAAATGCCCATTTCCTGAGCCTTGCCCCCAGAGATTCGGATTCACCGTCTAGGGGGTAGACTCAGCAATCTGCATCTTTAACAAGCAGCCCCACGTGGTGCTGGTGCATTTGGAACACCGCTGCCCCAGAGAGATGGGCATCAGTAAACCACATCTGCATGACGTATCAGTCCCAGGCACGGCTTCCTAAGAGGAACCTTAACCAACTGGAGCGTGCCCAGAGAAGGCAGACCAGAGTCGGGGGGAAATGATGCAGGGCTTGTCAGCCGAGGCTGGTGCACTGAGGGAGGGCGGGCAGACACTGCGGGCCCACAGAGCCCCAGGGGCGCAATCTGTTCACACACAGCCTTGTTTCCCCAAACGATTCACCATGGATCTTCCATAAAACACTTCAGTTCGGGGCAGGAGGAAAGGAGACATTAACATTTTTAAAGTAGATTAGTGAGGACATCAAATGGATCAGGGATGAGACTAATGCCAACAAAACCCCACAAAAAATTAAAAAATAAAAAATAAACGTGTATCAGTGAAATCAACAAACGGTCCGTTTTTACTCTAACAGTTACAGCGAAAGGGAGGGCTCGGGGGGCTGCACAATTCTCTGGATCAAAGTGAACTCGTGGATACTGAGCCATTCTCGGTACTCAACCCAGAGAGAATCTGTCCTAAGGATCATCAGATAGAGGACTCTGCTGTGCATTCAACACCCTCAACAGCCTCAGGGAAAACAACAGTGACATCAGAGGGCGAGGTCTCGTGACGGCCCTCCAGGCAGACGGGGGAGCATCACACCGGACAAGGAGAAACGGGACCCCTCCCCAGGAAATCCCCACGTACCAGGAAATACCAAGGAAGGGCAAGGTCAAAGAACCACCCAGACATAGAGTTGCTTATTCACATGCTGTTTTACTCGTATACACAGAAGAGCAATGGGCACAAAGAAAGGAGAGCGGGGAGAAGAAAAATAAATCCAGACCCGGGGGCACAGTCAACTTTGTTGTCCTGTCCTTGGGTCAAAGAGGCTGAGTGGTTGGCAAGGAGCAAAGATGCCTGGCAGTGCGTTCTGCCCTTGGGCAGCTTTGCGGCCCATCAAAGAAACCATCGGTTTGCTGTGGATTCTCGGGGACAGCTGGAGTGTTTCGCTGCAGGTGACAGGCGGCTCCGTGGGATGCCTGCCCGCGTCCCTGGTGAGCACCTTCTCTGGCCAGGGCTGCACGTGGTCTGCACTGCACTGGGATTTCTCAACAGTCACGGTGATGTGAAGGCCCCGAAATAGAATCAGATGGGGTTCAGTGGTAATACGCAGAGAACGAAGTGGCTCCCACGTGAGGCTTACAGGAATCACACGACGAAAATGGATTTTTCTTGTTGTTTTTAAATCCGTTTCCCTTCCCAATTATAAAAGGAGCGACTATTTACAGAAAATCATTCGGAAGAAGATAAAAAACTGCCCATGATTTCCACTGAGCAGAGTTACCACTAGTGACATTTTGATGGGCTTCCTCCCAGACCATCTACACGTTGATCCTTATTACAGACATCGCAAACATCCATTTGTTACAAAGTGATTTACCCTGTTACACTGTGCACACTGACCTGGGTGCTGTATTTTAACTGAATACATTACCAAAATGTCTCTATGGCATGGAACATTCTTCCACGACCTGCCACGGACAGCTGACCAGGGTTTGCACTGCGTTGGGTGGACTCCAGTTTATTGACCTGTCCCCTGTGGTTGGGCCCTGGGACTGTTTCTCACTTTCCACTCGAGTGAAAAAATGCTTGGCTGAACAGCCTTGCACATCAGTCCTCGCGAATGTGTGCGGTTATGTCCTTAGGATAGATTCCCAAAAGTGGAATTGCCGGGCCACAGGGTGTAAACATGTTCAGCCTCTTGATACACGTTCCCAAATAAAAGGTCCTACCAGTTTATCCTGCCAGCAACAGAGTCTGAGAAGACCCAGCACTACATCTCATCAACTGCTATTTTACATTCGATGAAATAATGTTTGTGAAAAGCCCACCTACAGTATGATTCCAAGTCTGTGACATTCTGGAAAAGGCAGAACTATGGAGACCGAAGACCAGGGGTTGGTGGAGGGGAGGGATGACTAGATGGAGCACAGTGAAATTACTCTGCACTATACTATAATGGTGGATACGTGTCATTATACATTTGTTCAAACCCACAGAGTGTACAGCACTGAGTGAACCCTAGCATAAACTACGGACTTTTGGTGACCGTGTGTGTCAGCACAGGTTTATCAGTTGGAACAAAGGTACCATCTGGTGCAGGATGTTGATGATCCCGCACAATGGAGGGGAGAGAGCGTATAAGAGAGCTCTGTATTTTCCTCTCAATTTTGCTGTGAGCCCAAAACCGCTCTTCAAAAACAAAGTCAAATAGGGGCGCCTGGGTGGCTCAGACAGTTAAGCATCTGCCCTCAGCTCAAGTCATGATCCCAGGGTCCTGGGATCGAGTGGGGAGCCTGCTTCTCCCTCTGCCCCTCCCCCACCCTGCTCATGCTCTCTCTCTCTCTCTCTCTCTCTCGCTCAAATAAATAATCTTTTTTTTTTTAAGATTTTATTTATTTATTTGACAGAGAGAGACACAGAGAGAGAGGGAACAAAAGCAGGGGGAGTGGGAGAGGGAGAAGCAGGCTTCCCGCCGAGCAGGGAGCTCGACGCGGGGCTCGATCCCAGGACCCTGGGATCATGACCTGAGCCGAAGGCAGACGCCCAACGACTGAGCCACCCAGGTGCCCCAAATAATCTTTTTTAAAAAATAAAGTCAAATAAATAAAGTTCATGAAGCCCCCACCCAGGACCAGTCACAAAGCTTACATTCCGCATGGCCTGAGGAGGGGCTCCCGGAGGAGAGTAGAATTTGGGGAGTCCAGGGCTGGAAGAGTGGATCCAGGAGGAGGGATGAGGTGTGCACGGACGTGACGAGGGGAGTCCACCTTGCCGGAGCCCAGAGGGAAGAGGGGAGGCCATCCCTCCGAAGCCAGGGAGGGATGCGGAGGAGGGTGCTGAAGGCAGATCCTGTGGCGAAGGGGTAAAGGAGCTCAGCACATTTATCCTGGAAAATAGATTTAGAGAGAGACATGACAGCCCTCCTCAAATATTTAAAGGGCTGTCTCATAAAAGAGAAATAAAACTTGCTCAGTGCACTCCAGGTGACAGAACTGAGCTCAGAGACCAGAAATCACCAGGAGACAGTCTCAGCTGGAGAGAAAAGCAAGCTCTATAGTAACTGGGACCTTCCCGGGAAAGCATGGACTTTGGGCTGAAAAAGGGACAATAACAGAATGGAGTTCACCTCCTTTCTGAAAATGGGGGGCCGGGCCAGGGGGCGGCTAGGGGAAATATTCATTCCTGAATTTCTGTTAATTTGATGTTTGCTGTTTGTCCAGGAAATAGACTTAAAAGTACAAAAAGAAGATGTTTTAAATAATAAATTAAATGACGCACTGGCCATGGTAGAAGAGACTCAGAAAACCAAGACAGCCGAGAGCCTAAGAGCAGAGAGCCTCACCATGAAATTAAATGAAACGTTAGCTGAACTGGAAACCGCCAAGACAAAAATGGTGAGTTGGTGCCTTCCGGGGCCGGGAGAATCTTTCCCTCAATGAAGGATCGCAACACTGGGAGAACTCACGATTTAGACCAGGGGCTCTCAGCCTGGGCCCTGCTGGTGCCCCAGGCTGGTTAACCCTTTCTTGTGCGCAGCCATCCTTTGCATCACAGGATGCTTAACATCGCCCCAGGTCTCACCTGCTAGATGCCAGTTGCAGTCTCCCTCCAGACATGTCAACCCACAGTGTCTTCAGACTTCGCCAAATGTCCTTTGGGGGGCAAAATCACCCTCTATTGAGAAGCACTGGTCTTGAATAAAAAGTGAATTGAGGCTACAATGCCCTCTCTCCAGGAGTTCTAAGATGTTGTAATACAGGGTCCTCACAGGATCAGGCTGAAGGACTGAGCAGCCCCAGACCTTAGTAATCAATGACTATTCCACAGACTTTAAGATAATGTTTTAAAATTTAGCTCGGCATTCAAGGCCCTCCACCATCAGGGCTCAATATTGCACTCATTCGTCATTCATACATTCAACCAACAGGTCTGTGGGCAAGGAAGTAATGAGGACTCATCTGGCCAAAGTACGCAAAGTGAATTTGAGAGAGACTGGAGTTGGAGAGGCCAGCTCAGGCTGTGGCAAGACAAGACATCTCAATTTAGAGGAGGCATGATCGCTAAAACAATGTGTGTGTGTGTGTGTGTGTGTGTGTGTGTGTGTGAGCTTCAGGATCGGGGGCTGCAGCCCAACATGTCAGCTGGGAATAAGGAGCAGGAGTCTGATGTCATCAGGAGAGCCAAGGAAGGAGTGGTCAGAGAAGCAGGAGGGGAGCAAGGATGAGGCATCGAGAAGCCCCGAGAAGAGCCTCAGGAAGGGCAGGGCGGCTGAGGGAAAGGGTCCAGCTCACCTCTTGGTGATGATTGGGACTTTTTGCTTTTAAGAAATAGAAATTTGGGGCTCCCAGGCGGCTCAGTTGGTTAACGTCTGACTCTTGATCTCAGGTCTTGATCTCAGAGTCGTGAGTTCAAGCCCCACGTTGGGCTTGGTGTGGAGCCTACTTTAAAAAATGAAAAAGAAATTTCAAAAAAATACAAATTCATTCTCTTTTTCTTATAAAATTGTTCATTTGTTAATTCAACAAATACTTATTGAGCATCTAGGTCTAGATGCTATGGCAGGGATCTAGGCACTGCTGCTGTGGGTACATTGGTAAATAAGGAAAAGTAAGTTTCTGCTCTCCTGGAGCTTACATTCTAGTGGGAATGGGAAATAAAGAAACAAGATCATTCAGATGGTGATAAGCACATCGCGGAAAATGGAAGCAGAAGATGGAATAGAAAGTGTCTCGGTCTGCTCCTTTAGACAGGCAGTCAAGGAAGGGCCTCTCTGAGGGAGGTGACATTGGAGTTGAGACCTGAAACATGAGAAGGAGTCAGCCATGCAAGGAGCTTGGGGACGAGGAGAGTACTGTGCAGCAGGAACAGCACGTGCAAAGGCCCTGAGGTGGGTCCAAGTTCCATGCCTGTGGGTGCAAAAGGGGCATATTGCTATTGTTGTCCTTGACATCACACCCAGATCCCAAGATCACACTAATGATGTCCCTGTTTTCCCAGCTCATCATGGAGGAGCGGATACAGCTGGAACAGCAGACAGTGAAGGCCCTCCAGGAAGAACAGGACTCACAGAAACACGGATTTGAAACAGAAATCAGGGAATATAAGGAGCAAATCAAACAGCACTCCCAGACGATCGTGAGCCTCGAAGAAAGACTCCAAAAAGTGACTGAGCACCATAAAAAAATAGAAGGAGAGATTGCAACCTTGAAGGACAGTGATCCAGGTCGGTCCAAAGAGAAGCTGAGGAAATCTTAGCGTTCGGGGCAGGTTCTGATTATCCCGTGGGTCTCAATAGGCTGATGATGGGCCCAAAAAGGCTGCACCTCGCTTGAACACTCCTTTTTTCCCTGGAGGCACCATTTTCTTCCCGTTGCACAGCAAGGTTAGGGGCCCTCGAGGCCCAGGTTAGACAGAAGTCACAACAACGGGACAGGACGTCCTTTGTGCTGAGCCAGCGAGCCAGTGCAGATGCACAGACTACCAGGCCTTTCAGAGCCTTCTCTCTGCCCTCAGGAGTTTGCGACTTTGTCTAATGGCCTTTCATAACCAGCTTTAAAAAGAAATCCAAAAGGGGCTGAGAAAAGAACTAAGGGTGGTGAGCACGTACTCACCCTATATGACCGAGGCGACGCAATGCATTGCAAAGATGCTGAGCTCTCGGAGGAGAGTTGAGGCCTCGGGCCAGGGTTGTTCTGAGTGCCAGCAGCAGCCCCCCACACACCAAGGGTGACTACCAGAAACGTCTGCAGACAGTGCCAGATGTCCCCGGGGAGGGGGGCAAACTCACCCCTGATTGGGAACCATGGTCCTGGTCTCCAGCCAGCTGACAAGCTGTCAGGGCTCACGTCATGCTTTCATTCACTCGACGCTCTTCGTTAGGTTCCAAGTTTATTCTAGGCGTTGGGGATTCCATATGGAATCCAGGCACAGTCCCTGCAGTTCATCAGATGACGGCCCTGACAGGTGACCCAGTCGGAACAGGGCACCATGGCCCAGGCATGAGGCGGGACTCAGTCTCCCAACCCAAGGTGAGGTCAGAGGGAGCTGGGACCCGAAGGGTGACAACAAAGTAGTCACATTTAGCTCAGAATCTGCCAGAAAGCAGACATTCCATAAACACCTGATGAACGACTAAAGGTGCGACCGAGGATGAGGATGGAAACCGGAAGGCGGTGGGCTGAGGAGTAAGTGTGAGGAGAGGACAGGACAGGACTTGTCTGGGAGGAAAGGCCGAATAGGGAGGAGACGTGGTCCAGTGGTTGGGGCTCCACTCCCCACCGGCCTCGCTGACTGGCCACCGGCAAGTTCTGTCCCTCCTGTGCCCATTTCCTCCCCTGCAAATGGAGTTCATGATCCCTGCCTCATAGAGTAGCTGGAAATATTTCATGAGCTTGTATGTGGGGGGTCCCAGTCTGTGCTGCAGAACCCATGGTGGGGCTCATTAGGTGGAGAGGGCGGCAGAGTGTAGGGGGGGTGGCTAAGTTGGAAAAGACGCAGGTGTGTTTATAAGCCCAGGGGAAGGAGAGCATCAGTTGCATGCGGACTGTAATGACGCTCACGGGTCCCTCTGATTCAGCCCAGGAGGAGGTGATGCAGCGAGACCCCCCAGCGGCACCTCCGATGGAGAGCAGTGTCAAAGACGAAATATGTGACACCTTGATGTGAGTACCCAGGCCAGAGACACCCCTCCCCACCCCCACTTCTGGCCATGTCGTCGGACCCTGAAAAAAAGGAGTCGAGTCTGGGGTCTTCTCGCTGTCATTTGAATTTCTCGATCCTCTAGCAGGTCAGGATGATGTCATGGTAAGATCTGGGTGGATCTATGTTCAGATCCCAACTCAACCCCTTGCAGGTGTGTGGCTCTGGGCAAGTCACGTCCCATCGCTGCACCTTAGCTTAATCACTTGTGAAATAAGCTGGTACTTGTCATAGCTCAGCCTCAGATTGAACCCAGCTGGGATCCTCTGTCCTATCTCCCTATATTTTTTTTTTGCATCAAAATGAATTTTTGCTTTGAGAATTTTTAAAGAGCGTGCTTCTCCCCCTTGCTGGGACTGGTATCCCTCGGACCCGCACTGAAGGAGGATCGCTTTGCATTTCTACCTGGCCCCTTCCAGGCACTGGGGACATCCTGGAGACTGAGGTGAGCTGACTTGGCCTGTCTTTGTGAGTTTCAGAGGGGATCTACTGACCGCTCAGAAGGAAATCCTGTCTCAGCAGGAGGTCATCATGAGGCTAAGGAAAAACCTCACGGAAGCCCACAACCGAATGTCAGATTTGAGAGGTTTGTATGATTGCCTGTGTCTCTTGACTTCCTGACCCACTTTGAGAAAGGAAAGAACAGGCTTAAGAGTTGGAAAGCTTAGCATTAAAAATCCTGCTGACCTGCTTTCCTGGGCGGTCACAGCATTTGAGCATTTGTACCTCGGTCAGCAAGACAGATGCCTGATCAGGGGGCCACAGGGAGCATTCTCAGAGGGCTTCAGACCTCTGCATTGAAATGCAACTTTCCTTTTGAGAAAAATGCCCTTTTGCCTTAGAGGATTTGTCTCTGGAGGCAAAGGCTGGGAGGGAGGGCATAAACCCCAGCACCCCCCAGCTCTGGGACCTAGAGCAAGGTATTCTCTCCTCACCTCCCCTTCCTCCTGTGCAAAATCACCTACAACAGACCTATTTCCTGGAGCTGGCTGGACATTAGGGACCTCCTACACTAGGGACCAAAGAGCACGAACCAGTCTAGCTGAATATTCCTACTTTGCTCTTTTTCTCTCCCCGCCCCAACCCCATCCTTTTATTTCCGCCTCCCCTCTTTTGCTTCTTATAGACATTTTCTCCTTCCCAGCCCCAAAATGCTCAGGCAGGTGGGAGTCAGGAGACAGAACCTGGTTTGGGGAAGTCAAGGGAGGGCGAAGAGCACTCCTCTTGTCTTGTCCCCATCTCAAACCCTGTGTACCCCCAAAACCTTCAGTGGTATTTGCTCCCCCTAGAGCTATACTGTCAACACCCCCAGGGCATTTATGGCTGAATTTTCCAAAGAGTGATTGTTTTCATACTAAGGTAGGAGAAAGTATAGCAGAGAGGCTAGCAGGTCCAGTTCTAGAATTAGGAGACGTTGGACCTGGTTCTGGATCTGCTACTTATTTTAGTCCCCGGAGTTTCGGCAAGCACCTTTACCTCTCCAAGCCTGTTTCTGCCTCCGTGAAGTGGGGCTGTGACCAGTAACTCACTTGGAGGGTTGCTATGAAAATCTGAGGTAATGCAAGTGTCTCCGTTTGGGTTTTGCCAACAGAGGCTGACCCTGAGACCAGAATGTTCCTGCGGGTGGTGGGTTTGAGAGGCGATCCCAGGACCAGCAGGAATGGAGGTAGACTAGAGGCAGGAGAGGGACGAAGGCAAAGAAAGCTGTGTTGTCAGTCAGGGGCAGAGCGGGCAGCTGGAGCTGAATTCTGCAGGGGGCGAACGCTGGGGAGCAGGGTACAGCCCAGCCCCCGGGTCGCCCGCCCCAGGGGTGAGGGGAACCGGGCTGTGAATTCCAGTCTCGGGTGGAGGCTGATGCACCTGGCAGACCCAGGAGCAGAGCAGACCCCAGAGGCCGGAGAAGGAACGCCCTTAGGCAAACAGATGCAGAAGCAGGCAGCCGAAGGTGGACCAGGGAGCCCCCAGAGGCCACAGGTGCAAAGGCAGGGCCCTGACAGCTTCTGGAACAGTGGGGTCAGACAGGGCTTTGCTGTCATTTGCTAAGACACAGGCAGACCCCCTGGCTGTTACTAACGCCCCCCTAGTCCCGCCGCAAGAATTCCTGGAGCGTGGACCGCCTCATGGTTCTTGTAGACCTGGCCGATGGGCCGTGGCCCTGGCAGAGCCCCGAGGCGGGAGACCCCCTCACCAGCTTTCCTGTCTCTCCAGGGGAGCTTAATGAAAAGCAGAAGATGGAACTGGAGCAGAACGTGGCGCTGGTCCAGCAACAAAGCAGCGAGCTGAGAGCGCTCAAGGAAAAGACGGTGCAGTTGACGGGCCTGGTGGAAAGGAAGGACAGGGAGCTGGAGGTCCTCAAGGAGGCGCTCAGGTGTGTGGGAAGGCCCTCATGGTATAGGGGGCCCAGACACACCCAAGTGCGCAGGGAGCCTCCCACGTGGAGGTCACTCAGTAAATGTTGAAGGGGGGGAGGGAGGGAGGGAGGGAGGGAGGCAGGGAGGGATGGATGGATGGATGGATGGATGGATGGATGGATGGCAGGCAGGCATGTGTTTCATTACTACACAACCTCATCATTTAAAACAGGGCTTTGCTTAGTTCTGTGCCTCGCAAACATTCCTGCCCAGTATTCCAGAGGACAGGCCTCAGCTTAAATGCCACTTCCTCCAAGGAGCCCTCTGTCACTTACCCTCACCAAACAGAGCCAAGGGCTCCTACTCTGCCCGGGGTCTCTCAGCCCTTGCACTCTGTACAACCTAACACTTCTCACACAGCCAGGCTGCTATGGCCTGTTTGACTATCCACCTTACCCATAAGGACCCCATACAGACCTTGCCTGCTGTTGACTCCCCAGCATTCACACAGTGCCTGGCACATAGGGAACTTTATAAATATTGATGGAACCAGCGTATAAACTGGGGTAAAAGAAGTCAGCTTAAAATAAATGTAAGATTTCATTGTCATTCCATGGATTAGTCTGAAAAATACATGTGAGTTTGCAGTTTCATCCACAACTTGCCCTTATTTTGACATAAGAGTAATGTTTTCTCCAAGAAAGGTTGAGTAAAAGCTACATCTTGTGACTACCCTGTAGCTTCATATGCCTCCTGGCTCCTGGCCAAGACAGATTCACATAGTGGTTAAAGTCACAGGCTGCCTGGATTCAAAGCCAGCCACCTTCACTTACAAGCTTCATGACCAGGGGCAAATTGCTGTGTGTCTCTTTCCTTGCCTGTAAAATGAGGCAAAGAGAGTCCCCAACTCATGGGATTGTTACGAGAAATAGAAGGGTTAACACGTACAAAGTGTTAGAAACAGCAGATACACGGCAAATGCCCCAGCAAATGCCCCAGCGGGTGTCCCGCAGACCTAGTATGGGGAACAAAGGGGGACAGGTGTCTGCTGCCCTGGCCACGATTTTAGAAGTCGCCTGAAACTAAAGTCTCCAGAAATCTGCCGGCAGGAGACTTGAAGACCCGAAGGTTTCAGTTACCTATAAAAATGGAGTTCCTTTTTCTGTTCTGTCAGTGGCTCCAAAGGTCAGTCGTGGTTCCTGGAACCTCAGGCTGCCAGCCATCCTGCTGTCCAGTGACTCATCTTCTCTGCCCTAGGGCCTCCCAAGAGAAACACAGAGTCCAGCTGTACAAGGAGAAGGAACAGAAGCCCAGGAACACGGCCCAGATGTGTGACATCTCAGTGCAGATAGAACCGGTCCACACTGACATTCTCTTGAGCAGTCAAGAGGTGAGTGCTGCTGAGGCCTGGCCACTCAGGGGGACAATGCTAAAAAAAAAAAAGAGCCCCACAGTGCCCGTCTTTGCTTCTGAAAATATTTGCATTCTAAGTTCCAAAGATCTGACTTGCTTATGTGAAATGCGCACAGTAAAAAGCGGTAGTCCCCGCCCTCCTCCCGAGGCCACTGGAGGTCACAGCTGTGGGCAGTTTGACACATGCACCATCAGCCCTTTTCCTCACAGAGCCTGCCCTACCCTCATACAGGCGCAACCCCGCAGTGTACGAAGACCAGCCTCAGCTCCAGGCCGCCCGGGTTCCATCCCGGGGTGGGACTCCTGCACCCAGAAACGCTGACCCCAGGGAGGTAATTGTATGCCGGCTCCCTTGTCTGGAAAGTAGCAGGATGACAGCCACCACCGCGTGGGGTTGTAGAGAAACAAATTTTGTTTATGCACACAAGCACACACACCCTATATATGCATGTTTATACGAGAGATCTTTTTGCAAAATAATGGTATTAAGCCATGTATATTCTGCAACGTGTTTTTTTCCCCCACTGAACACTATATATATAAAGACCCTCTTTCCTAGTAAGTATATTAAGAACCACTCTGTTCTTTTAATTGGGTGCATAGAATTCCACTGCCTCCCTCTTGTCCACCCCAAGTCCCCTGAGGATGGACACTGAGGCTGTGTCTATTTTCACACGTTGCTATAGTTAATGTCCCTGTAGGTTTGTACATAGAACAAATTCCCCAGATGTGAAAATGCAGGGTCCAGAGGGCATCCCAAATTGTGCTTGATGGGGCCAGACTGTCTTCCCAAAGAGCCATGTACCATTTCTGCTGCGTGCCCGTCTCTCCCTGACTCCTCTTGGGGTGCCTGGCCAGAAGCCTTTGCATGTCTGGACGCCTCAGCTGCTCAGAACACAGGGAGCGTGTCTCCGAGTGAGAACAGCCTTCACCACGCAGCCCCCCAAGGTGGCACTCCCACTCTGCTCTGGGATGCTTCCCGTTGTCCGTGGAAGGCTGACTGCGGGTGCAGCGATTCCTTGAGGCCTCGGGTTTCCTGGAGCCCAGGGACATCCTTTTCCCCTTTGCTTTATGAAACTAGAGAACAGGGCATTTCAGTAATGGGCTTTGGATCTTCACTTGGAAACAGGGCCAAATGTGTCAGCTTGCCTTCCTGCTTTCTCAAAGATGCCATTCCCTTGCCAAACAGCAGTGAGCCAGGGGCCGCACGCAGCTTGAACGAAAGGGCTCGAGGCCCAGCCATCTGGACAGCACCATCGCTGTCCAGAGCATTTCACAGAAGGTGAAGGTGCCCGGGGAAGCGCCAGCGGTCCCGCACCCTGAGCTCTGCGGGGTGGGGAGCAAGTCTCGCTCCTGTCTCAGACCTGTCGGAATCCCGAGCTCTCAGTGCAGGACCCAGCCCATACTCGTTCACTCGCTCAACAACCATAGAGTGTCTGCTGCATGCCAGGCCCGGGGTGGGCGCAGAGGGGGAGGCCCAGGGCTCCTGTTCACACCAGACGCCCTCCGACTCTGCACGAGTTTGCTAGAACGGATTGTTGACTGGATACCGAGATTATTAGTTTCCCTTATGAGGCAGGATTAACTGAAGAGGATGGGGGAGGGAGGCTGCAAGATGAAAGGAAAAAAGTATTTGTTCTTTCTCCGAATGGCTTTCCAAACTCAGGCTACTTCCTGCTTTCTAAGCCAGAGTGGGTCAGAGGGCTTCAGAGTTGTATGAGAAAGAATCTCCATCTTCTTCTCTAAATAAACAAATTCCCAGAAGAGCCATGAGTAAGGGTCACATCGGGCTCGGGCATACTCTTCAGACAGAATAAAGGCTGTCACCAAGCCTCGCTGCTGTGGCTGCCCCAGCCCCAGGTCAGTAGACCCTATCCTCCTCTCCACACTCCTACACAAGTGTGTGCACACACACACACACACACACGACATTCCTGGGCAAACATACATCCTCAAAGACAGCAAGGCCAGTGTAGAATCAACCTGGGGAGAGTGGACCAGCCATGCAGCCTATAAGCAGGCTGAAGCCCATGTCAGGGTCAAGTGAGGTCCTACTAAGTCCAGCCAGGAGTGGCACGTCCCCTGCTTTTTGCTGCTGAGTTCTGGTCCCAGCCAGAAAGCTGGAACAAGCTCCTTCCCACCCTGTTTCTAACCTCATTTCAGTCAGGCTCCATAACTGTGGACCGTCTACTAAGCTCGGGCACAGTGCTGGGCCCTGGGAACACCACAGTCTCCAATGGAGACAAAGACTTTGCTCTTACGGAGCCCATGTGTTGCATAGAGTTCATTACTGGGCTTCAGGGGGGCCCTGAACCTCCAGAATCTGCATGCAAAATTCTTAAAGATTTATTTGAGAGAGCGAGAGCAGGGGGGAGGGGCAGAGGGAGAGGAAGAGAGAGAATCCTCATGCAGGCTCCCCACTGAGTGCATATCCCAGGACCCTGAGATCATGACCTGAGCCGAAATCAAGAGTCAGACACTCAACCAACTGAGCCACCCAGACGCCCCTGTACGCAAATTTTTGTGTGTCTGGGAATTTTTCTGAAAGATGGAACCTTGCATTCTTCTGAATCTGAAAGGTGGGCATGACCCTTAAAAGATAGAGAAGACCTCTCCTTGTCTATGCCTTTCATAAGCCCTACACTAGCTCTGTGCTCTGTGCCTGGTGGCTGCCATATTGGGATGGAGCAAGAAGTGGAACCGTTCCTTCATCCCGGAAAGTTCTGTTGGACAGTAGAACCTCCAGAAGTCTCGGAGGAAGGTTTTCCTTTCTCAAGACCAACCGCGAGCCAATCTGTCAAATTCCCCCTAGCAAATATTGAAGAGCCATCCCTATTTCCAGTCAGAAAGAAAGTACCATGTGTTCTTATCTAAAAATGCCCCCTCCTGGAGCAGAATTTGATGTGATTATTCTGAGACAAGACCCAAATGACAACAAATGGAAACCCAAGCTTAGAAGAATATTAGAAGAAAATATAAAACACAGGGAGGGAACACAGAGGGGGTTTTATTTATAGATATGCTAAGTAGGTAAGAGAGTTGGAAATCTTCCTAGATGTGACTTTATATTTGAAATGAAAAATTTAAATTCCTTCTGCGCTGAAGTCCCTTACAGTAGCTTCCAAGGTACTAAGTGACAGGGTCTCTGCTAGTCATGAGTTGTACATGTTTCTTGGACTATAAGAGAGAGATTCTGGGGCGCCTGGGTGGCTCAGATGGTTGGGCGTCTGCCTTCGGCTCAGGTCATGATCCCGGGGTCCTGGGATCGAGTCCCGCATCGGGCTTCCCGCTCCTTGGGAGCCTGCTTCTCCCTCTGTTTCTCTCTGTCTCTCATGAATAAATAAATAAAATCTTTAAAAAAAAAAAAAGAGAGATTCTGACCCCCTGATAAAACTAACCTCTACACCATTCTGGCCACAGGAACAATCCTTCAGGGATCTAGGGGCCAAGTGCAAAGGGTCCCGACATGAGGAAATCATTCAGCGTCAGAAAAAGGCCTTGTCTGAACTGCGTGCGCGAATTAAGGAGCTTGAGAAGGCCTGCTCATCAAGTAAGTTCCCTCCCTGCTGGTCTCCCTCTCCCTGCTCAGAGCCCTGAGCCCCAGACTCTAGAGGTCACTCTGGGCACTGACATCGGCCAGGACCACCGTCTTCTGTCCTGTCACTTCATAGCCGAAAGGACATTGTCATATGAGGAAAGATGGCAGGCATGATCTCAGAGTCAAGGGCAAGCCTTAATCTTAAATAAATGGGATTTCATAAAAAACTCACTACATTGTCCTTTTTCTTATTTCGCTGTGGCCTGGTGGGAACTTTGTCATGGACTAACAGTGCAAGGATCAGCTTGGGAACCTCCTAGAATACTCTGTTTAGAAGGGATAACGTTTTCAAGACACTGCACCTGTTGCTGGGGGGTTGGGGGGAGTGCTGGGCTAGGCCCCAGAAGCCAGGGTTCAAGTTCCAGCCTGGTTCCTGTGGCTGAAAGTTCACCGTCCATGTCTCGGCCCTGGCTCCTGCGAGGCCCCAGCCTCCTACTAACTATGTGTGACCTTGGACAAGCCATTTACCTGTCTAGGCCTATTTCTCACCTGCCAAGGGAGGGTGGTGGAGATCAGCACTGGCCTGCAGTAAGGTCCAGTAAACCACAGCTGTGATTTCTTTTTAAGATTTTATTTATTTATTTGAGAGAGAGAGAGAGGGCACGAACTGAGGGGTGGGGCAGGGAGAGGGAGAAGCAGACTCCCTGCCGAGAGGAGAGCCCAACTCGGGCTCGATCCCGGGACCCTGAGATCATGACCTGAGCTTAAGTCAGATGTTTAACCAACTGAGCCACCCAGGTGCCCAGCAGCTGTGATTATTACAATCAATAACTTCTTCCTGACCCTTTCTTTTGACTTTCATTTATTTTATAGATCATAAGGACCACCTGACTGAATCCTATCTAGACTTAAAGACGGTCAGAATGGAAAAAAATGTCCAGAAATTCTTGCACGCAAAACCTGATTTGCCAACTCTCTCAAGAATAGAGATTGGAGCGGTAACCAAAGAAAGTTTCTCTCTGCGGTGACACGTGGTGAGGGTGGGCGTGGGGGCAGACACTAGCCGAGTGCCCCAGCACAGCCTCACACGTCAGGGGCTTGGGGCCAGGCCTCCCTGGGAGGCCAGCGTCTGCACCACCGGCTCAAGGCTTTGGTGAACCAGCAGCCCCATGTCTGAACAGAGAGGTTGCTCTCCGTTTGCGCCCAGCGTGTTAAATCATTGCACTGACCCTGGTCCAGAGCAATCTCTGGTGGGCCCTCCTTTTCACACGATGTGTTATATCCCGCAGAAAATACTCAACAGGCTAATTTTTAACATTATGCCATGAGTTTGCCTGAAGTTTGCTTTGAACGGCAAACTGAGAAGCATGAACACATAAAGAGCAGCCGGAGGGTTGATTAAGAGGACGCAAGTTCTAGAGTCAGAGGGACCTGTGTCCGAATGCCAGTCCCGCTCTCCGTGTGACCTCGGGCGGGCTCTTAGCCTTTCTGGGCCTCCTTTGCCCAGCTGCGCACTGATGAGAACCTAGAGGTGGCTGGTTTAAGTGCTTATCCCCGCGTCGGCTCAGAGCAAACACTTAATAAATGATAGCTGTTATGATTGCTTAATAGTATTTAGATAGTGACACTCAAGAAACCCTTCCTCTCTTAAGGGAAATAGTTGTATTTGCTAGGATTTTCAGAAGTGATTTGACCGTTATGTTGAAGGTGCCCTGTACCCTAAATGGATGTTTGATGGGTGCCTGATTGACACCTGACAACGGACCGCTCGGGTCACGGTCAATCACGGGATCTGCTGGGCGTGGCTTGCTTCCACAGCTGGATCTACACCACGCAGAGGCTTTTAGACCACGGAACAAAGTCATCCTATCTGTACCAACATTCTCCTGCACCATTTTTCTGGACATTTGCTAGGGATGTGAGTCTTCAGGAATGTGCTGGCTTTCTGGATGAGCCCTCATTCTCCGAGGTTGGAAGTGGAGAGACAGTCTCCAGGTGGGGAACTCAGCTGGCTCTCCTATCCTGACCTGCTTCCCAAGATTTACCTTCTCCCTAGCACTGACCCTATGCCACCACCACGGCCACAGAGCAGGAGAGCCCCCAGCCCTCTCGGAAGAGCTCAGTCCTCCAAGGTTGGCAATAATGCAAATTGAAAGAAGAGAAGGAGCAGGAGGAAGGCTCGCTGACATCTATTAAGTGTTTGCCGTGTGCCAGGCACTGAGCTAAGCTATCATTTATCATTCAGCCAGTTATCATTCAACCCTCACAGCAGCCTTGTGCTGGAGTTACTGTCATGATCCCCATTCTACAGATAAGAAAAGTTAAGACTTCAGGCAGTCAGGTACCTCACCCAAGGTCACAGCATAATGACTGATGGACCCAGGACTGTGTCTAGCTCCCTGCTAGTCTGCAGAGAAGGACATGGGGACTATGTGATTAAACCTCATCCACCAGATTCTGCCTTAGGTGACCCTCCATCAGGAAAAGAAGGGGAACCCAGAGCGGGATACAGAAGACACCGCCCAGGGCTGGAGACACTGAGTGGTACTTCAGGCTCTGTCATCCTCAAATCCCCTCCTTCACACTCAGCGCTAGAGATGGAGAGACAAATAGCTCACGCTTATCTATCACAGTCACTTGCTGAGCCTTTATGTTTTTGTAGTCAGTTTTTTTTTAATCTCAGAGGTTTACAGTGGAGTGCCAGCAGATGCTATGGGCCAAGAGATGCTCGGGGTGAGCACTTAAAACCCAGTTTGCTTTTTAGGGAGATTTATTACAGTTATTTATGGTCTTCCAGACTCCCTGATCTGTCTGGTGGCTCTTCCGTGTGGTCAGCAGGGACTTGCAGCAGCCAGCTGGCTGAGAGGGTGTTACAGAGGGCACAGCTGTGAACACCACTGGGCACTGTTTCTGGAATGGGTCTGAAGGGATCCTCGCCCAGCAGGTTCCAGCACTAGGAGAAGGTTTGGCCAGATTTGGTGACGGTATAGTTTCTGTTGCCTAAAAATGAGATTCCTTTAATAAAAGGAGGAAAGCTATTTTCTCTGCCCACTCTGTGCCAGGTGCCATGCTGGGCGCAAGAGATGGAATAGTGCGCAAAAGCAACACGACCACTGTTTTTATGAAGCTTGTCCTCTAGCCTGGGGTTTCTCAACCTGAGCAGCACTGATAATTTGGGCCAGGTAATCCCTTGTTTGGGAGGCCATCTGATGCACTGTGGGATGTTTAGCAGCATCCTTGCCCTCCACCCTCCAGCTGCAACAACCAAAATGTATCCTGGCATTGACGAAGGTCTTGGGCATGCAGGGGAGGGTGGACAAAATCACCCTTGACCGAGAACCACTGGTCCAGAGGGAAGACAGTAAGTAACCAGAGAACGAGGCAAGTGAGAGTCATGTTCTGAAGGGTGGGAGCACAGTTACCAGAAAGCAGTTGACAGAGGAATCAGACGGGCTGGTCAGGAACTGAAAGGAAAGTCAACTCTCTCGAGTCATTCTTCGATAGCTACGGTGTTTCATCTCCAGGATGTAGACATTCACAATGGCATGCCAAGAGAGTTTTCACTTCTTTTTTATTTCAGCCTCAGAATGGCCTTGCCAACTCAGCCATCCCAGCCATGGAAAAGTCAGGGAAAATGGATGTAGCTGAGGCTTTAGATCTCAGTGAAAAGCTGGTATGTACATACAGCACCGTCCCTTCCTGTCCAAAGCTGGGTCCCCCACGGTCATCGTTAACCACCAGAGAGTGTAACTAAACATCAGCTTCGCACGCATATTTACTTGTAATAATAGCTCCGCAAGACCCATCTACTCTCCCAGCATGGGTCAGACGTTGCATAGGCCAATTCCTTGAAAAACTAGGTAGTTAGAATGAATGTTTATGTCTGTTGTCACTTTTCCTCCTGGTTCTCAAAAAGGCATAGCGTAAAGGGATGTGGAGTAAATGGAAGTCCTACTGAAAGCCCAGTGGCACTCGCTTCCAAGCATGGGTGTGTTCTTGGCAACTGTAGAAAATGAACGACAGAATTAGATGTTGGCTTCCTCAGAGCAGCCACCAGCAGCCTTGGGCCAGGCCTCTTATCTGCCAAACGCTTTTCTCGCAGTACATGGACATGAGCAAAACACTCGGGAGTCTGATGAACATCAAGGACATGTCCGGTCACATATCCATGAAATACCTCTCTGCAAAAGAGAGAGAGAGAGTCAACCAGCTCCGACAAAGGGACCTCGATCTGGTGTTTGATAAGATCACCCAACTCAAGAACCGGCTGGAGAGAAAAGAGGAGCTTTTGAGAGGATACGAAAAAGACATAGAACAGCTCAGGTACCGCCGGTGACCCCACAGAAAGGACCAGGTGTCCGTTCTCGTGGCTGAACCTTGGGGCAGCAGCAGACCCGGGTCCAGGGCAGGCAGAGAGACCTTGGGGGCGGGGCGGGGGGGGGTGGCGGTGATGACTAGGGCCCGACAGAGGCGAGTCTGTCCGTGAGAAAGCAGCGATCGAGGTGCTCAGTGTTCGTTCTGTCTCTCTCTCCACGAACAAGCTGCGCCTTGTGTGCATCTTGACTTAGGACTCACCATATGTACTTTCCATAGCTCACCCTATTCTAGTGGCCTCAGCTCCCCTACGCCCTCCCTGGGAAATGGGGGGGGTGGTATCTGGCAGCATACCCTCCTACTACACTTAGGCACCCGATGAGCTATTTATTCTGTCCTCTACGCCCCAAATCTGCTTGCCATGAAGCCGCTAAGTTAGCCGCCGCCGGAAGTATTCTGAGACTCTCCCAGGTTGGGGACATGGATGAGAAAGAGGAGGGGAAAAGAGCCTGTGTCTCTCCCGTGCGCTCAGGCAGAGCAAAGTGTCAGTGCGGATGTACCAGTCACAGGTGGCAAAGCTGGAGGACAGCATCTACAAAGAGGCAGAAGAGAAGGCTCTGCTGAAGGAGGCTCTGGAGCGCATAGAGCACCAGCTGCACCAGGAGAAGAGAATCAACAGGGCCATCCGGCAGCAGAAGGTGAGGGGTCTTGCTTGGGGCAGAACCTCGGAGGCTGCGGCCCCTTGGCTCCCTTTAGAAACAGCAAAGTGAGGGCCCGGGGGTCCGGGCAGCACAGAACACATTTACTGATGCAAAGGGAGGCGGCAGAATAGCTTTAGCATCAGACACACTTAGCTTCAGACCCTAGCTCTACCACTTACTCTGTCATCCCAGATGGATTCCTTAACCTCTCTGAAACTCACTATCTAGCTCATGTGTATCTTTGTAAATCGTAGCTATTGTTTGCATTTTTATTGTGCTTCTAGGTGGTAGGGATACATAGATGAACAAGCAATCTGTGAATAAAGATTTGGGTTCACTATTCTGAGTGCTTGGAACATAGGTGACATCCAATAAATATTTGATGGATGGATGAGGATAGATGGATGGATGTCCTTGAAGATCCTTAAAGGATGTCCTTTAGTGCACAACAGACGGGTAAAGAGCTGACTTCAGGCTGATTTAAGGATTTAAAGTCTCTAACGGGTGCTCAGGCTGCGTCATCCAGAGGCAGGCACCCAGCCAGCCCAGAGCATTTGGAGAGTGCTTTCCAAGTGGTGACATCTACACTGAGTTGCAAAGGAGAATCGGGAGTGTGTCCACCAGAGGCATGGGCGGGTGTGCATCCCGGGCTCTGGGAACCCCGGAGGAAAGGCAGGAGGAGGAGAGATCTGCCTCCTGGCATGTACTTGGTAGTAGCATTGCCTTAAGAAACCAAGATTGGAGACTCGGGCTGGTGATCCAGCCAAAAGCCCCCTCCTCCCCTCGCCTTGTTATCTCCTCTGTGACACAGCGCAGGAGTTAGTCCTGGGTTCAGATCCCGCCCCCTTCCACTTACTAACCTGTGGCCTCGTGCAAGTCCAGTCCCCTCTCTGAGCCCTGCTTCCTCACCGCGCGTGCCCTGCAGGGTTGTTGGGGAGACTGCACACGAGGCAGGTACTCTCCCTGTCCAAGCTCTCGCAGTGTGAACTCAAGGGCCATGTGGTTTCGGGAGGTGAGGGACACCTAGAGGGACACTCTAAAGCATTAGCCCAGGGCCTGGCACTCGGCAGGTGGATGCTGCTCTCCTCCACGTGGCCAGAAGCCCGCACATGTGGTGGCTCAGGCAAGCTCTGCCTCAGACGCGGCCGAGGTGCGGCTGACAGCCCGGCACGCGTGACCAGCACCCAGACGAGCGCTTCGGAAGCTCCCCAACAGACCTGGGCCTGCCCCGTGGTCGGCAGAGGGACTGTCCTGTCTTCTCTGCAGTTTATACCCATAACCCCTCACTCCCGCATTCATTTCCAAACCAGACTCTCCCTCGTTCTTAACTCTTGCCAGAGGTAGAGCCGGTCCCAAGACTAAGATCAGGCAAACAAGGAAAATTACCATAACCGCTGTCTCATGATCATCTATAGGCACCGGGCTCCCCCCGGGCTTTGCAGCACCGATCGGGGTTACTAATGCCTTGGTAGCTCAGCCTGGTAGCTATGATGACCCCCCTTTTACAGATGAGGAAACTGAGCCTCAGAAAGTTAAGAGACTTGCCCAAGTTCACACCGTAGCTGGTAAGCAGAACCTAGACCTGGCCCCGGGACCACTGACCCTAGTTCCTGTGTTCTATGCTGGCCTCGCCCCATTCTTCTCCTTGTAAATGTTAGTTTTCCTGACTCGGGCTGTGTATTTGTGCACGCATGCTCGCATGTGTGTAAGTGTAAAGAAGTGCGTGCGCGTATGCGCTGTATGTGTGTTTCTGTGTGTATATTTGTATGTCTGTTTGCATGTGTGTGTGTGTGTGTGTGTGTGTGTGTTGCCTGAATAAGCTCTAAGGAGGTCAAGCCATAGAAGGCTATAGAAGGGTGCCCTCCTCCCCAACTAGGAGACGCTGGTCAGATAAGTTCCTTGCAGGAAGCTGCCCTCCTCCATCCTGCAAACCTTCCAGACAACAGGCTCCCCAGCTTGTAGCCCTAGAAATGAAAGCAGCCACCCTGCTCTGAGGGAGCCCCAGATGCGGGGTTTCTAGCATCCATGGCTCTGAATTAAACATCACAGGCTTCAGGCAAAGGACGATTTCCTTTCATACCAGCAAAGTCAGGGAGAGCTGGGCCAGTGACAGAGCTCTGACTTTTCCCTTGATGTGCCCTCTGGAGAGCTCACCCCTCCCTCAGGTGCCCCCCCACCCCGCCCTAGGACTTGGCAGGCTAGCCCTCAAAGCAGAAACACCAGACCACAGAATGGGACAGCAAAGGGCCCCAAAAAGGCCATTGTCATGTGCTGGCTAAAAATATAAGAAAACCTGAGGATTTACATAATCAGGCTCTGCATGCATTATTCATGAGCTGCCTCATTCATACACAATGCAAGGGCCGTGCCAGCCTGTTGGGCACCAGACAGCCTTCTGTGCAGGAGGATCTAAAATGGCCAAGTTGACCCTGCGTCTGTGTCCCCAGAAGAGTGGGAGCTGGGAATGTTCAAATTCCGGGAAGTCACAATTTAGGGAAAGATTATGAAAAACCACAGCCACAATCACAGCAGTGCTGACGTTACTGAGCCCTTCCCGAGTGGCAGGCACCTGCTCCACACTGCACGCGCTTCATCTCTCCATCAACCCTGCAAGGAATGCTGGCACCCGGCTGCCCAGCAGCAGAAACGGGAATACCCCCGCCCCGCCCCAGGCCTGCTGCCCTCCCTGACTCCAGTCCACTTCTCCACACCTGTTGCTCTCTGCACCTCCCTTTCTAGGAGGCCGCCCCCCCATCCTCCACTCACCATCCTTCCTGGGGTTTTCATTCCAGGGCTTGGGTTTGCATTTAAGGTTTGTTATTCATAGGTTGTGGGAAATTCCTGTTTGTCGGGAAATAAAAACCCATCAATTGTAAAGTTTTGCTGGATTCTAAAGGGAACTTGTATACATCTGTCTTGGCCGCAGTTCCTTCCAAGGAATATATTCGTTCTTTCAATGGAAGCTCAAGGAAAATAGAATTCCTTTTTGTTTCAAGTTTTACGCCTAATATTTTCATAAGGAGCCTTAATGTTTCCAGTCTCATGTATCAAAGTTCACCCATTCATAGAGAAGGAGTGGTTAAACCACTAGTTAATGAAATTACTCCCCCTGAGCTTCCCAACCAGTACCCTCCTCAAAAAAAAAAAAAGATGTAGTTTTTAGTTTGAATGTTTGAACATCTCTTCACCAAGCAGAACTTCCTGGAATCATACTTCCACACTCATACCTTTGGCTGTGACAATGAGACTGGATACAAAATGCAGGGAAAAGTTCAGGGCTGGGCATTCACAGAGAACCTTGCGGTTATCAGCTCTGAACTTGGGAAGGGGGGGGGGGGGGGCCGCTGGTGCTCCCTCCCTGTGACAGAGGGACAATGACCGTGGCCCAGGCTGTGCTCAGCCTCATCCAGTTCCCCCATCCCTAGATAAGGCAGCTGTGTCTCTCAGAGTTCAGAGGCGGCCTCTGGAGTCAAAGAAAGAGGGTTAAAGCCCCACCTCTGGCCCGGAGTGACCCCGAGTAAAGTGGGTCATGCCTTGTATCTCAGAGTCCTGGACAATCACCACCAAAAATGATAACGGGGGGACCCGAGAGGGTCCAATGACATGATGCCGACAGAGCCCGGTGCCTGGCGAGCATGGTTAGTCTGGGGGAGAGAAAGGACAACTTTTGGACGGGTGGGGCGAGGCCTGTGTCTCTTCCAGAGAGCTCCCTGCCCGCTGACACAGACGGCCGACCCCAAGCCGCTTTCCCGGGCCGCCTGGAGCCAGCGGCTTTTTTGTGAAGCTCTCCTTTATAGTTGGTGAATACAGCTCGGGCTAAGGCCAACAAGAGCTCAGATACTTTTTGTGAATGGGTTAAAGCGGTTATTTTCACTATGACCTTTTTAAGTGCACAGAAGCTGCCATTTGGAAGCGCGCACTCCCCTTCCTGGCCCTTTCTTAGGGCTTCAAGCGTGAGAAAGGCTCGAGTCTGGCTGGGGAAAGCCCCTCCGTTCTCCTGCCAATCAACCCTCCAGCCAATCAAAGCCTGGCCCAGGGGCGTGGCCACAACGTTGCCAGGTGGTGTCGGCGGGGAGCGGGGCGGGACCGTCCCGGCGCTTAATTAGCTCAGATCCGTCGTCTGGAAGGTGAGAGTTAAGGCGGCACCTCCCTCAGTGCGTTCGCTTCCAGGAGAGCACAGATACGAGCTCTTTCGCACCCAGAACTACTCAATACAAGCGCCCATACATCACCGATATCATCACTATCTTATTTAAATCACGATTTTCCAAAATTTTCTTGGGCCCAAGCATTCGCGAGATCCAGGTTTCCTCGGTGCCACTTGCGTGATTTTGACCAAGACCTAGAAATCAGTCGGTGTTGCGTAGGATGGGAACGGGTGGGCGGTACTCTGGCCCACGCAAGCATGAGAAAGTAAAATGTGGTGAGGGCGCCGTAGCGGGTGGAAAGAGGATGACGTCCCTTTCCGCCCTTCATCCTCTCCCCACCAATTCCAGTGTGCCCCAGTGGCTCCCAGAAACCTCGGAGGTGTGTCCCAGAACAAAACAGGACAGGTCACACTAAACGCTCTCTTGCTCCCCTAATATTTTCACTCAGGAACGTTTAGAGGATCGCCAACAGAGAAATGCAAAAGAATCAACACCTTGCAACTGTTCCTTCAAAGAGAAAGAGAGGCAGGTATGGAGAGGTCTTCTGATCTCGCAGCCAGACACAAGATAGATACAGTAGATTCAAAGGGTAGAACCTGGTGGGGTATAGAAGCCAGCTTGTGCCCAGCCAGGAATACCCACACGCCTCCACCTCCACCCCATTCCCTCCCCCCACCCCAGCCCCTGCCCCTCCCTTGCCTGCAGTCTGAGCAAATGAACCTAAGAGACAGGCAAGCATCCAACCCACTATCGGGAGGTAAAGCCCCAGGGGGCAGGCAAGTGTAGTTTTGGCTGAACAACGACCCTAGGCACTGAGTGATCTGGGGACTTGGAGACAGGTCCTAAGAAAAGAAGAGAGGAGTGGGAGCCCCAGGAACCCCTGCCCTAAGAGTGAAATAAGTGGGTACAAGAAGGGGAGGAAAGTGGGCACAAAATGGAGCCAGGAGTGAGGAGGAAGGTGCCAACTCTAATGACCTTCTTACCTGCCAAGGGGGAAACCACACTTGACTGGGCTTTCTGGCAGACAGTGGGATCTGGAAAACCCAGAGCTCACAGTGTCCAGGAGATACAATGGATACAATGCTCGGAAGCGTTCTGAGAATAGGGACAGTACTGGATTTTCCACTAGAGAGGACACTGTGTGATATAATGAATAACATCTCCAAGAAGAACAGCGTAGTGTTGGCTGGGCCATGTCGGAGGACAGCTCTTGAGACAGGCTGGTGTCATTACAGCCCAGGGAGTTCAGGAAAGTTCAGGAAAAGCAGGTGTGCGGGGGCCAGGATCTGTGCCTTTCAGTGTTCAGCCGTCCACTGATTGGATTTAATCCAAGGTATTTTGGAGCAATGCTCAAACTGGGGTTCCCTGGAGCCCTTGGGTGCCATGGAAGAGTGTGACTCTCAACATTCCCCCTTACGCGCCCCCCCCCCACACACACACATAGACCTTGTTTCCCCAGGAAAAGTTCTCCTTTATCTGTTTCATATTCCAAGTTCCTCATGGGATTTTGCTTAAATCTGCTGGGGGAGAGGGGGGAGGAAGGGAGGTTGCTGGTTTAAAAAGTCCTGCTTTGCAATTATCTAGGAGTTTGGTTGGTGACTGTCTTCTAAACTTAGCTCCTCTCAGCTGAGCCTGTGATAAATGTTGAGAGGCTGCAGGCCCAAGGCCTTCTCAGTGAAAAATGCCCAGAGGGCAATTCAGTTAAATACAGGCGCCTCAGCCTTCATAGACAGTTGCTGTAAGGGCACGTTGGCACCCTTCTGCGGGAATGGAAGAGACAAATGCCCATGCCCTCTCCAAAAGATGGCGAGCTGGGGCCTCCCTGCTCACTCCCTCCATGACTTTTGTGAATACCCAATAGAGTTGCCAGAGCTAAGGACAAGCAAAACAAAACAGGATGCCCAGTTAAATTTGAATTTCAGATAAGCAACAAATAGTTATTCAGTATAAGTATGTCCCAAATATTGCATGAGACATACTTAGACTAAAAACATTTATTTCTTTCCACTCTGGAAGTCAAATTTCACGGGGCATCCTGTATTTCATCTGGCAACCCCACCAACAACTCTTTACTGAGCACCAGCTGGAAGCCAAGAGGGCAGGCTCTGGAGAACATGTCACAAAATGGCAGCCCAGCATTTCATTTGGCTCATGGGTTTTCTTTTGGGGGGGGCGGGGGGTCTTTTTTTAAGTAACATTTCCAAATAGGGCACTTCCACAAAATACGCTGGATTTCCAGCTTCTCTGTGCAACTTGGAAGATCTGGGGCTTCTAGGCCCATAGTCCCACAACCACCATCTTCTAGGCCCCTTAGAAAAGCACTGGGCTTGTGGGTTTGCCGCCTTCCCCACCCAGCTCACTCCACCCACTGCTTTTACTTCCCCAGCCCCTGTAGGCGTCTGGCTAGCGCCTCCCGCAGAGGCTCGGGACTCTCTGAGAGACACCCTCTTCCCGACACCCCTGCACCATCCCCTGCTAGAGTGTCAGTATGTGAGAGAGGCCCTAGCCTGCTCTCACTGTCATGTGCCCAGCGTGCCTAGGACATGCTCTTTTTTCAGCGAACTGTCCCAAGGTGCAGGGTCTTGAGGAGACCAGGATCAGCAACAGTCATCAACCCCCAGGGGAAGGGCAAGCTCCAGATTTGCCACGATGCTGGCTCCCAAGCAGGTGCCTGCCGTCCCTGACAGGGAAGTCAACCACTGTGGCTTCATCATTCCCCGGGCTGTTGGGATGCTGGGTAGAAACCCACGTCTTCATCCTCTTCCATTGATCTGGGAGGCTCTGCTTCCACCCAAAGCTGATTTGTCCCCCAAGAGGGCTGCAATAATCCTCCAGGGACCCTTGCTTGAAAAGGCTCCTCCTCTCAGATTCCTCTGGAATCTGGAGCAGAGATTCCCTAAGGAGCTCGGCAGGAAATATAGCAGCGCCCGGAAACCGGGCCCCCTTCTGCAGAAGCACCTCATCACCGTGCCCCCCCATCCCTAGGAAAGCCCAACATTTCATCCAAATGGGTAACATCTGAAAGTGGAGGGGGGAAAAAAACCACTTTTCTCTGATGCAAAAGGGAAAGAAAAACATAAGCTAAATGTCAATATTCCTTCTGTATTCAAGAGACGAATGTTTGTAGAGACGGTGAAGAACAAGATGCAGAATTCAAGTCCCCAGGTGAGCTAGAAGGAGAAAGAAAACAGTAGGACGTCAGCAGGAAACCCAGGTTGACAATAATACCCCCTCTGTTATGTACTGAGCATTTAGTACGTGCCAGGCATAGAGCTATGCCCTCGACAGGCATTATATCTCATTCAGTCTTCACAACAACACTAGGGCTACGTATTGTTTTAATCCTCCATTAGCAGAGGAGATGTCTGAAGTTCAGAGACTTTACATTATTTGTCTAGAGCCGTACAGCTAAATAAGAGAGCTGGAACTTGTTGCAGATCTGGACACCCACCCAGGTGAACCCTGCCTCTCCCCTCCTTTAGGTAATCAACCTCCAGATACTAAACCTGATACATTTCGGATGCGTTTTCTCTTGAATTACAAGGAAGCATCCTCTAGAACACTCTTTTTTAAGAGTTGGGAACCAAGATTCCGAAATTTTAAACATGTTGAAACACTGCCATTCACAATTCAGCCCTAGAACTGGAATTGACCCAACCACATTCCCACTTTGCAGAAAGTAGAGGTGAGCTCTCAGGAAGCATGAAAGCTAAACACGTTGCAGTGAAATGAGAAACAGGAGCGATATTCGAGTTTGATAAAAGGCCACAATAATTCCAAGACAACAAAATTATCATTCAAAAAAACAAAGATATTCTAGGTAAGGGACATGTTGGGAAAATAGAAGCCTCTTCTCAACCCACACCCTTTTTCTAATTCTGGAAGGTGGTTACTACCCAGAGCAGGATGTGAAGAGGAAAGAGTGTCCTCTGAGACCTTCGCCAGCCTGCCAAGTGGGAATGAGGGGGAGGTTTGTCACTTACCCATATATCGGGTTGAGCCAGGAGCAGGCAGGAACCGCTCTGCAGGGCGGGCTTGTCTGAGGACCACCTGGAAATGTGAGATAACAGAGGAGATGCCAGGATGGGCCCTAGATGTTGTAGGCACCTTGTGCTTCTCTGAGCTGTGGAGCTCCCCGGAATTTCAGGCCGCCTCTGGGCATCACAGAATGTTGCAGATGGTGCTCCGGCTAAGAGCAAAGCGTGAGCTTGCCATTCTCCCAACCCCCGAGCCCGAGCTTAGAGGTTTGGTGTCTAGGACCCCCTCAGTATAGAAAGGTCTTCATGGTCCTTACGAAGTGCGGCTTGGGCGTCCCCTTTCTCTACAATGCGCCTTGAGTCCTTAGAGGGAAGGAGTCGCCGTGAGCACCGTGAAAAAAACAGGACATGTAAAATCTGCTTTCGACTCTTGCCCTCTCATAAAGAGTCTCCATCCCTAGCAAGCCTCAGAAATGGTGCCTCCTCCCTCTTTGAGGGCCTCTGGGTTTTTGTTTTCTGTCTTTCCTAATGCCATTCAGTGATTGTATATTGATTTCTATTGCAGCTAAAAGGCATTTATAGTTGTTTGGGAGTTGTATGCTAAGGAGGAACATCTTCTAGTTAACAAGTATTTATTGACGACCTAGTCTAGACCACAGGCCACCCTCAGCAGGGGGGATGGAGGGGTGGACAAAAAGGTACTGTCCTGGGCGCCTGGGTGGCTCAGATGGTTAAGCATCTGCCTTCGGCTCAGGTCATGATCCCAGGGTCCTGGGATCGAGTCCCGCATCGGGCTCCCTGCTC